TCAGCTTAGTTGCTTTTAACGATCCAAAAACGTGATTTTGGATCGTTAAAACAGATTTTAAAGAGAAAGTGAGGGGTCAGTGTAGAGCACCGGAGTTGAATCTTTTGTCATCCAGTGTCTTCAGTAGAAAGAGAGAGACACGAAGAAATGATAAAGCCGATTAATGAAAATGTGGTTAATAATTTTCACTTATCATGCGATTAATTTATTAATTGAATAATTGTTTATTGCGACAGGCCTAATAATTCCGTTTAGGAATAAGAACGGTCTTAATTTACTTAGAAAAGTTCGTGCTCTATCTCCATCGATTTTCACGTAGCTAATTTACGCCCCTCGTATTTCCGTTAAAATCATTGACAAATTTACGTCATGGTTAAAATGATATGCAGCTTCACCAGTGAGTGGCGCTGTTTCACCATGGAAATAATTAATTCTGTATCTTGCAGGGGTTTTCACGTTCAGCTCAGGCTGGGGGGGGGGGGGGGGTCAGGTCTAATGCGTCGAATATCATCTTAACCAATGATTTGTCGTGGAAATATGAGCGGTGTAAATTAGCTACATGAAGATTGGTAGAGATAGAGCACGTACATTTCTAAGTAAATTAAGACAGTTTTTATTCATAAACAACGGCGATCTGTGCGACCCGGAAGCACACTACGGATCGTGCTTCTGTAACAGATCGGGGAATGACATGCGTCATCGCTGACAACCTGTAAATGTGGTTCGGTGTTGTTCCAAAAATTGATTGGCTGCCAAATGGCGGCCGTGGGAACGTGGACGGGAGGACTTTAACAAGAATTTAACAAGATTAACACTTAGAAACAATTATTTCTTTACTCATATTTATAGCAAAGGTGTGTCTCAGTTGAACTTTTCCTTAATGAATGCACTTTAATGGTCAATTCTGATTTGACGTTTGCTCAAGGAGTCCCGGAGTGAGACAAAGGTGACTTTGTATGGCAAGTAAAGTGTCTCATTAATAGCCACTTTCACCTATTAATGAGACACTTGGCTTGCCATACTAGTTGAGGGCCCTCTAGTGGCTGAAAATGGTAGTGGTCAATATTTTCTGTGTCAGAATGAATGAAATCGTCAGATCGCAGCCAAAAATTGGGTTATAAATATGGGAAAAAACAAATACATTGCTTTGCTGCATAAATCGCAGGCATGCTAATTTATGCAAAAAAAATTGTACAACTTATACGCCGGAAAATACAGTAAAACAAGCTACTAAGTATAAATAGTTCATGTTTATGTTTTTCTTCTGCATCAACAAGTTGCGTTTCTTGATTTTCGTAACAAAACCCTAAAAAGGTAAAAAGTGGGGATGTGAGGAAGTTAACGAAGAGTCAAATGTTTGAGATTCGTCCTGAAAAAACCTTCTCCACCTTAAGTTTTCTACTTTAGTTTGAAAATGAGAGAATGAAATGCACAATTCACTTCCAAGTCTTCCCAGGACTTCAGGGAGGAAACTGTGTATTTTTGTTGGTTCAGGGTCTCGGTCGTGTCATCTCACAGCTTTTGGTCACGCGTTCTGCAGTTTTGGTTTTATTTCTGTTTGTTTCTTCCTTTATGCTTTTATTTCTAAAGGATCCCACCTGTCAGTGACTTTATAAAGATTTTCACGTTTTCAGTTGCTTCCCGTCAGGTTTTTATTTCAGTTCAGTTTGACTAGAATCCTCAGTTTTTGGTGTTGCAGCGTGTTGCTTTTGTCTTAAAATAAAATGTTTTGCTCTTTCCTTCTTTAATTTCAGCCATGAAATACTTCCGTTTATAAACTCATTGATGAAATAGTGAGTCCACCACATATCTGAGTGTGATGTGGGATTTACAAGTTACAGCTCAGACTGAGAACACGAAGTGCGTTTTCAGATCAAAGCTTATTGGGATTGGATCTCGTGAATGGGAGCGACGAGTTTGTTTTGACGCTCAGCTCCTTCTCACACGAGTGAAACGTTAAAAAGCTGCAGCCGAGCTCGGCGTTCCGTCTGTTCTCTTGGCTTTCTGCTGATGAGTGGGTCGGACTGTGACGCCGGGCCCCGAGGGCCCCGAGGGCCCCGTTCAGGCACGCAGGCTGCGTTTCTTCTGCTGTGCAAATTGAAAAAGACGGGATTCAAACTGACAAAGTGGGATAAATAAACCATTTAAACTGCTCTTTGTTTAATATTTCCAGTTGAACATATTTCCCATGCATTAATAAAATGGTGATTAAGGAAGTGGCTGCAGCTGTGACACGTGTAGAAACACTGAGCGGATGTAACAACAAAAGAAAAAATAAAACCCATAATGAACACACGTTTGCTCCAGGAGTTCTGGAGCGAGACAAAGGTGACTGCTATGGCAAGCCAAGTGTCTCATTAATAGCCACTTTTACCTATTAATGAGATACTTGGCTTGCCAAATAGCTCGAGGGCCCTCTAGCAGCTGCAAATGGTAATGTTCAATATTTTTCACGTCATAATGAATGAAATCGTCAGATCTCAGCCAAAAATTGGGTTGTAAATATGAGAAAATAACGCATATAAGTCACTTCGGTGTATAAGTCGCAGGACTTGCAAATTTATGCAAAAAGGTGCGACTTATACGGCGAAAAATACGGTAAGCTAAAAATCACAGATCGTGCCAGTTTCTGAAGAAAATATTTAATTAAAAACAAGAAGAAAAAAACAACATTTGATGAAAGTCAAACAGCTGCTAACATTTCACCTTCAACTCACAGAAGAAAACAAAATATATGGATAAGCTCAATTCAAGTTGGCTCTGGCTGTGAAAACTTCAGAGTCGGAGTTGTGGAAACTCTCAGGACATTAGAGTGAAACTCCTCTGTGCGTTTCCTTTAATTATTTCATCTGCTAACTAAAAGTTGTTCACGCTGATGAACATACAGATGGTTTTACTGGTTGTGTGGAGAGCAGTGGGGGCGGGAACTCAGCCCAATTTATGTTCATCTCAAAGTTTGACCAACTTTGTTCAAAACAACCAATTTATTCTTTAGTAATATTATTATTATCCTTTATTCTAACCACCCAATGAGAGGTTCAAACGTTATGTGCTTAAATCTTTGTGTGAACGCAGCTCAAATCTGTTGTGTTTAAAACCTATGCACGACGGTAGCACTTCCTCTCAGCACGTAGCTGCAGAGGACGGAGACGACAGAGGGGAAGCTTCAGGACACGACTTGAGTGATTCTCAAGCGACTGTGTGGTTCTACTGCCGAGCCCTTTAAACACACAAATAACTGAAAATAATGAAGTTATTTTTACTGCTATTATCGCCAAGCAAAGTCATGAGACGAGGATGTTTTTGGTTTCAGAGGACTTTGTGCTTTTTTTTTTTTTTTGGCCCCAGTCCTCGTGAGCGTTTTAAAAACAGAGTTATGCATTTCCTATGAACGTTTCTACTTTCTGTGTAGTTTTCTGGAAAGCAGGAAGATGCAGTTCGTGTCCGCTCCTTCTATAAACCCAGTGGTTTTCTTTGCGCAGTCATCGAGCCCTGCATGGACAACGAGCTGAACGAGTTCCCCATGAGGATGAGGGACTGGCTGAAGAACGTTCTGGTGACTCTGTACGAGCGCGACGAGGACAACAACCTGCTGACCGAGAAGCAGAAGCTCAGGGTGAGAAAAGCTCTGGAAGTCAGATCTTTTTAATTATACTCTGGGATTTTAATTCAAAAGATGGAAAAACAAATTAGGATTTTGTAATTAACATCAAAAGTCTCATTTCCTTCTGTAGTTGCTTATTTTTTACTTCCAAATTGGTCTTCAACAGTTTTGACCTTTCTGAATTGGCTGCTTTTTCGCTCAGTTTGAGGCATTTGTACGTGAACATTTTTACACCTGTCAAACATTCAGGTGCACAAAGGCATTAAAGTACTAAAACAGATTTAAGTGGACCCATAAAAAAAGTCATAAACTAGGAAACAAAGTCTGCACCATTTATTTCTCGTGGTTAGTATTTCCATAAATTAAGAAGTTGCTGACAAAATATGTGATCCATCATATCAAATCAGGGATTAAGTCACATTTGGTCAAAGTCAACGGAGCAAATTTTCAGATTTCTGGCTTCAAATTTAAATTTTGATGCCCAGATCAGCCGGATATCGTGAGTGCTTCCAGACATATGGCTTGATTTGACTCGCTATTCTGGACATCTCTTAGAAGATCGTCCTGAATCCTATTTTTACCGTCTTCAAAATGTGGATTTCTTGACGTCATTCAAAGGAGAAAACCTCAATTCATATTTGTATATCAGAATTTCCTAGTTGGTGTTGAAAAGAGCTTATAGTGTGAAGGGAAAGTAGCAAAACTTTAGGGATACGGTTTGATGTGATGGGTCACACATGAACTGAAATTAACTACGACGTGTTAACCTACAAAAACCTCAGGAGACTGAAAATGGTGACGTCCACGACAGAGCTGCTTGAGAGGACGAAGTCCTACAATTATGATGCAGCACGCTCAGATATGAGGAGTAAAGTTTGCAGATGGGTGTGTCAAGTCCTGAAGACGGGCGTGCAGCACCACTATGGCACAAACTACAGGCGGTTTACACAGAAACTAAAACACAGAGGCTCTAGCTCTGAACCCACCCTCCTCTGACCTAATCTAATCCAGCAGGCAACCAATCAGCAGCTTATTGTCACAAACTGAAGATAAATCATAATTTAAGTTATAAACATTCAGAGAGTTGGGCTAAATTAAAAAAGAACAATGAAACTAGTAGAACTTTAGCAATATCTGTGTTGGTGCTGAGGATGGGAGATGAATCGGTATCAAGCAGTAAGTTCGCTCGGTGCTGCTCAGAGGTTTCTGGGAGATCTAAGACCTCCTTCACTTACCGACTGAATCCAGACAGCAAGTGTTAAGTTAACACGAAGACCAACAGGATTACAGGACGAGCTGGATTTTACCTTTTTAAACTGCCTGAAAATGAAGAGGCCGAAAAGCTGCAGTTCGCTGAGAACTTAGCCGAGGGGCGGCCCAGAGACCCAGCAGGGACTGTTCCTCAGGGCCACCAGTAGGCCTCCTAACACCCCCTCTGAGGCTTTAAGATAAAGGGGGGAACTCTGAAACACAAAGTTTAGCTCAGCCTGTGAGTTTTTAGGTTGTACAGGCAGATTCAAATACTCAAAAATACTGAATTGAATACTCAAAAAGTAAATTTGTTAAGTATCAAATGTGAATCTTCAGATGGGTGTTGGTTGCAATACAGAAGAGTTACCTTACAACGTAGCTGGTTTTTGGGTTTGTTTCATTTTTTGATGCAATTTTCTTCATTTGTTCTCTATTTGTTTTATTACGATTGTCCACTGTTGTCATCACTCTGTTAGAATCAGGTCTGTCTTGTAAATGAGTCCTCGAGGTTCAATGGGATTAACGCGTCTAAATAAAGGTTGAATGAAAAAAAAATAAGGACGACTTGCCGAGAATGAGGTAAAGGACCTGGTATGGTCCAGTACCGTGACCGGCTTCAGCAGGTGGTCCTGAACCTGGTTTCTGACGCTGCGTGCTCCCGTGCAGAGCCTCAGTGGGTCAGAGGTCATCGGTTGAAGCGTCAGTTCTGCTCATCTCTTTGTGCCACGTAGAACGTTAAAGCAGAAAAGCCGCCGACTCGGTTGGATTTGAAAGCACACCTGTCTCTTCCTTCAGGTGAAGAAGATCTACGAGAACGAGAAGAGGCTGGGCGCCGGCGATCACTCCCTGGACCTGCTGGCCCACGACTTCGAGAAGAACTACAACATGTACATCTTCCCCGTCCACTGGCAGTTCGGACAGCTCGACCAGCACCCCGTTGACGGGTACAAAACCGGCGCAGACGAGACAAACTTGTTTTTTTGTCTGTGATGGATAATCGTGTCAAAATGATGTGCTCAGTTTCTGATGTCCCGTTCCCGTTTCTCCTCAGATACCTGACCCACTCCGAGCTCGCCCCCCTGCGCGCTCCTCTCATTCCCATGGAGCATTGCACCACCCGCTTCTTCGAAACCTGCGACGCCGATGCCGACAAATACATCGCCCTGGATGAGTGGGCCGCCTGCTTCGGCGTCAAAGAGCGTGAGTGTTTCAGTCTGCACCCCGTAGAGCTCAACGTTTCCATTTCATCGGTTTAATTCTTGATCTCGTTCTCACTTATGAGACCAACCATCAGTTTTTCACATCAAACAGCCTTTTAGGACTCATGGCAAAAGCGAAAATTAGGTCTTACTTAAGTATCTTGGATAAAGGCTGAGTAGAAAGTAAGCCTCAGACAAGTAGAAAAACTGTCATTAAACTGTAACGCCAGGATATCATGATAGGCCATCAGATGTGTTGAACCCACGTGCAGGAGGAGAACAGGAGGCTCGAGGTAAAAAGTTAAACATTAATTTATTTACAAACAAAATCAAACAGGACAGCTAAACTTACTGTGACTGGAGGACAATCCAGAGACAATCACAAGACACAAGGGAGCTGGATATGTGCACAAGCTAATGAGGACAAATAGACACCTGCAGTGATTAACACTGAACACAAGGAGGAGGGAAAACACTGAGAGGTGAATGAAAACATGAGGACTCAGAGAAAGATAGGACAAAACCCAGAACCCCTACAGTACCCCCCACTCAAGGGATGGCCCATGACATCCCAAGGACGAGGCTACATCCAACTTGGGTGGGAGGTGGGACAAAAAGAGGATAGAACGGGAGAACGCAAGGACCAAAAAATAACAAAAACTGACAGGCAAAACCTGGATGATCTCTAAACACAAAACCAAGAACACAGAACCCCAAACCCAAGAGTCAAGGTGGGCAGTCAGGAGATCATCCAAAACAGGTCTGACGCTCAGGTGGGTGGCCCGGTGACCGTCTTCAATGAGGCAGGAGATTAGGGGGGCGGCCTGGAAACTGTCCATCTCCAAGCCAGAGTTCAGGAGGTCGGCCAGGAGACCGTCCATCTATGGGCAGCAAAGGCGTGCCTCTGTGCCCTCCTGGACTCGGGTAGATGAGGACCTCGACAGATGGACCATGAGTGAGGACCTCGGAAGGCCGACCATCGGTGAGGACCTCGGCAGGAGAACCAGGGATAAGGACTTCGGCAGGAGAACCAGGGAGGAGGACCTCGGCAGGCGGGCCCAGCAGCTCTGCTTCATGTGATGGAGTTTTGGGAACCTCCGAGGGCGTAGAAACCTCTGCAGCCTCGGGACCCTCAGGAGGACGGAGTGAGGGGAGTCCACCTGGACCCCCTCGCAGGACAGATGAGAGGCGTCTCTCATAGAAAAATCCTCAGACTGATGAAGTCTTTTGGATGAAGGCGAAACTTTTCAACAAAAAGAAAACGTCTAGAGGACCCGACTTAACTTTGTTGGATTATTGAGCATGAATCAGGATATTTTGAACCACTTTGGCCTCAAATGAGTCGGCCGGGGGGGGGGGGGGACTCCAGAAACCATCTGAGCACCATCGAACTGGTTGACCCGCTATGTGAAGGTGCTATTTATAAAACTGAGTTTGCTGTGGCTCCTCGGACTGATGAATCTTTTGGACGAAAGACGAAACGTTTCAAGAAAAAGAAACCGTCCAGAGGACCCGACTTAACGTGGTTGGATGTTAAAGATGTAAAAACAGCAGTTCGGTCTTTAAAAGTCCAACTTTCTGCGGCTCGGTTAAACTCTGAATGAAGTCTGAGCTGTAGAACCAAGCAAGACTGGGCTTTCTCGTGAGTTTTATTTAAATCCCACTGTTTGTAGGAAAAACGGATGCATCGCTTATGCTGCACAATGAAGCTGCACCAAAAGTCACCGTTTCTGATCAGGGTGCTCATTTTAATGTAGTTCATGCTCGTTTTTCCAAATCTATAAAAATGTGTAAATCAATTATTGGTACAGGAACAAAAGAGTAATGAATATTTGGCGTTGCATTAGCCCCTTTAGTTACCCTCTCTCCTTCAGTCTGTTATCAACGTGAATGTTTTGTGCTTCTTTGTGCTCGCAGAGGACGTGGACAAAGACCTCGTCATCTAAGCTCCTCTAACAAGATGCAGCCGTGCGGCAGAAAACTGCAGTCGCTACTAACCGGACAAGGTGCTGACCAACCAGAAGTTTAAATAAAATGAGAGTAAAAGGTGCTAATTGCTAATTCTTGTTTCCAGTTTATCTTTAAATATGGATCTTTCCTGCCTATACCACTAAAAAATATTCCAAAAGAGAAACGTGCACAGTTTGTACTAACCATGAAAACACGAGTTGTTTTAAATAAAACACCTTGCAAAGAAAAAAACTAAAGAACCTCTGATGTAAATTTACATTGTTGACAATATTATATGGTGTCTATGCTATGATGTGTTCAGGGCTGTTTTTTTTTATTGGATCAGTTTGAAACATTGTCCCTCCGGAGGATCAAACTGTAAAGTGGAAAATAAAGTTTCTAAATAAACGCTCCCTCTGCTTGCTTTCTACAAAACCAACTCTCAGTTTTTCCTCTCCTTTGGTTCGTTTTTATGTTTCGTTCTGTAGCTTTTCGATGAATCGTATAGTTTGGAGACGTGCGTGTGCTGATTTTTTAAAATATTTAAAAATATAGATTTGCTGGAACGAGGAGGGCTGATCTCAGACTGATCAAGTGTTTCTGCTAAAATGCCTTCTGAATAAAACTGTGAAAACATCCAGAAATCTCCTCATGGCTTCATATCTGTTTCCTCTGCAGAGGAATTCATGCTCAGATAATCTGACCTGAGGATCTGCGCAGCACCAGACCTCACTTTGTTCTTTGTGTGGAACATTTTTCAGACTTTTTCTTTGTAAGAAGCTTTTCTTCTTACCTTCTCTGGCTTTAAACCTTGTGAGTCTGCTGCAAGACCCAGAAATAGCCCACATGTGGTGTAAGTTAGCGAGAAAAATGCATTTTGAAAAGTTTAAAATTCATTAAAAGTCGCCGAATTCAAGCAGCTTAAATAAAATGTTAGCGTTTAGAAAATCTGAGTAAAAAAAACCCAAAAAGAGGACATTAAACTGAAGAACACTGTGTTCTCGTACGGCTGACTTTCTGCGTGCCAGGTCTGCGTGTTGAACTTTGTTGCACTTGAAGGTTTAATTTCCTCTGAAGGACTGCCTGCTCGTGGTCCCCTGGGAGACGGAGAGAACCGGAGCACCCTGTCACCATCCTCACCCGCTCATCCAGACTCCAGCGTCGAGAATGTGCAATGACCTCCGGGCCTCGTCCATAAAGCCTGCAGCCCCTCCTCCTTCAGCTGCTTCGGCTGAAAGAGCAAACGGAGAGGAGCTGCGATTTCACGCACTTCACTTCACCTGACCACAACAAACCTGCGCAGGATTACATCAGTTTAGGAGAATATTTAAAAAGACATTCTTTAACAAGTATCGTAAATTATAAATCCATATGGCTGCTTTTATGCTTGCTGTTTAAATAAGAACATAAATCTGTTGAATTAAAGAAAAGTTTATGAAAGCCGAAGTTAAACCTCATTGCACTGTCATAAAGTAAGCAGCAAAATCAACACCACTTTTCCCCTCAAATGGACGATTAATCAGAATCAGCTTTACTGTCATTGCACCGAAGCACAACGAAAATACATTCAAGTACAGCCCGTCCGAGTAAAATATTAACAAACAGACATGGGGAGACGGAGGTGTCCGAGGCTGCAGCCCCGTGGGAGGCGCAGCCTTTTTAGTTTAGATAGGAAAAGAGAAACTAGGGGGAAGGGGATGTATTAAAAAAATCATCTCTCACACTATGTCCTAGTATGAAAGTAAAAAAAAAAATCTCAGCGCAAACAGCAACACACTGATGACATCATGATACATATATGCATGAGGAAGGCCGACGAAGGCAGTGAGTTTGTCTGTGGACACTGCCAGATAGTTCTATAGTCCTGATAAGAGATGGTGCAGTGTCTATCAGCTGGCTCAGCTCTGATACAAGTCCTTTAATTTAAAACCCTTAAATTAAAAATCTACGAGCAAAATTTGTGACCAGTTGCCAGCTCCAACGTCTTTTATTTATGCAAACAGCCAAAATGACTGAACACAGCCAATTGAGGATGGAAAAGTCTGATTGTTTTGCAGTATCTGTACAAATTTATACTCAGGTTTGTTGCGTAAAGTTTGTAGGTGAAGATGATTTGTTTACATTGAGTGCAGACCCACATTGCAGAATTGAATTTCAACGTTTTTTAGCAAAATACCACAGGAAAATTCTTTCAAATTGCACCATTAACATTAGCTCAGGATAAATTTTTGTTGCAGGATTGGGAGGGAAATAAATAAATTGTAGCATCTCATTCAGAGTTTTTAGGTTCGATATTGCGGGTAAGAAAGGTCGAAGCAGATGACCGCTTGTCCTGAGCCTGGTTCTGCTGGAGGTTTCTTCTTTGTGAGGGAATTTTTTCCTTTCCACTGTCGCCTTCATGCTTGCTCAAGATGAGAGTCTGCGATGGAGTTAAACTCAAACAGTCTGCTCCTCAGATAAATAATGTTATTAACTTACTTTTAATGTATATGAATGTTTCTGTTCAGTGCCCTGAGATGACTTCTGAATTGAATTAAATTGAGTATTATTGAAATTCTTGCTTTGTTATAATTTATTTATATCAGGAAATAAATTTTGTTTTTTTCCTCTCTGTGTTCTCTGCTTCAGTTCTGGATAGTTTAATTTTTTAGGGGAAAAAACAAACAAACAACTGCTGCAGTGAAGAAAATGAGGAAACATTTTAAAGTCATAATTTTATAATTTGATTGTTTGTCTAAGTGTGTCAGCCTTGAGTCAGTCTCCCCACCATCACAGACATCTACACCTCCAGATGCAGGAAGAGGACCACCTGCATCATGAAGGACCCCACTCACCCAGCACACACACTTTTTGCCCCTCTCCCCTCAGGAAGGAGGTTGAGGAGCATTAAGTGTAGAACCACTAGACTGAGGAACAGCTTCTACCCTGACACTGTTAGACTCATGAATCTCTAACCAGAATAATCACTGTGAAAAACTACATTTTATTATTGGATGTAACTGGGACCATGTGTACAAAATTTCGTTCCACCACATGTGGTGCGAATGACAAATAAAGAAACTCTGACTCTCTTCTTTGGTTTAAAATTAAACTATGTTTTTTTAATTTAAATATTATTTACTTATGTGTTACCTTTTTAAATATAGAGAAAACAATAATTCAAATCTAAATATGATCTCATTGTCCATCCAGTTAAGGCCCAAAGTGTTTCATATTAATTGTAGTGTACTGGTTTAGTTCATTTTTACGAACTTGTTCAGTAATAAATAAACAATTATCGCAATATTGTACATTTGCTTTTCTGATAATGTTTCTTCAAACTGATCAGACAGGGCACAATGTAATAAATCATTCACGTTTGTCAATGCAACTCTTTTGTCGCCCCCGAGCGGGGAAAAGCCGCCGGTGTGCCGCCAAAAAACGGATACGGCGTACGCCGGTTAACTAAACAATCGTACCTCCCACCGTTGTTGCGGATTGGTCCTACAGACGTGCTTGTTGTGATAGTCTCATTCGATTGGTCCATGACTCCGCAAAACCTGAAATTTGATTGGTTGAAATCGAGGAAAGGGGCGGGCTTTCAAGTTCGGTTGCGAAGGTGAAACCGGTACCCGGGCAGTCTAGCACGTTGCGAAGCCGCTAGTGTTTTGGCAATTGCTACGGCGATAAAGAAATATCATTTAATTTCAAAGCAACGCTCATATTTTAATTATTTGATCAATTGGTAAGTTATTTACCCGTTTTTTTAACTTGTTTTATCTGTTTTGAAAAAGAAAGCGTGCCTTTGTCTTCCCGTTTTTATCAAATGAATCGGATCGTTTTTAAGGTTCCGTCTATTTCCTGGCCTTTAGATGGGGTGGTCGTTGGCGTTTTCTTTAACATTGTGGCAAAACTAAACTGTTGTAATCAAACTAAACGGTAACTAAGCATACATTTATTTATAGATGGACGAGTTCGCTGTAAAAATCGTCTTCGGTATGTTTAATAATAGCGCAACGAGTTCTCGTGTTCTCTGTGGCTCGCCAGGAAATAGCCAGCACCCTGTAAGTCGTGACCCTCTTCTCGAGCTTTCTTCGCTGCGTTCCTCGTGCGAGGGAGGACTTTTCGCCCGACAAACGGATTTTGACGTGATTTTACGCGTTTTCAACAAGTTACCGGGTGCATTCCGGTCGTCGGGAGCGGGAAAGCAGTGCGAGCCTCCGGTGCACGTGCTGAGGCTCCTCCTGGGCTGGTTGAACCCGGGTTACGGGCGGGTTCTGGGGGGTCGTGGGCCGCTCCTCCTGACTCGGTTCGGGCCCCGGTTCATCGCGCCGACATGTGAGCCCAGGTTATATCCGGTAACGGCCGGTGGACCGGCCCTCATCCCCGCAGCAGCGTGCGGGGCCTCCATCACCGCTGCTGGCATGGCGGGGCCTTTTGTCTGCGTGCGGTGCGGTGCGGGAGCTAACAGACCCGAGAAACGTGGAGGAAACGGTTTCATTTTAAACAAATCGCTGCGAATCAAACGGATTTAGAGCTCAGCCCTGTTGATTTTTAACCGTTTTTTAATGTCCCAGGTCACCTGGAGCTGATCGGTGCGCTTTGTTTCATGTTTTTTTATTTATTTAATTTTTTTAAATTTCTGGAGGATCAGTTGAAGATTGCTGGTTGTCACCTGAAGATGTTCGGATTGCTCCAGACTTCGTGGGTAAAACCATAAAACGAAAGCTCGTCCAGTCACTAGAAGAGCAGAGGGAACGTTGTGTTCCGGCCAAAGCTGAGGCGTTCAAGAACGTCCCAACACCACATTTACCTGAGCCTGAAGAATCAACAGCTTTCAGTGAAAACCCCAGAGAAACTGCACCAGTTGCATGGAAGGTGCATCACCTGCTGCCCTTCTCACCAGCATGTTGATGGAAAATGACCAGGCTGGTCCATCAAACCTTTATCTTTGGAGTGACTCTCAGCGACTACCACACAAAACCATCTTGATTTGGGTTGATGTTCAAACTAGTGATTGCTTTCCTTAAAAAATCCCTTAAATCTTTTCAATGAGTCAAGTGATATTTTGCGGTAGCGTTCATGAGGATGTTCAGTAACAAATGAACCTCTGGTAGAAACATCTGCAGGAACATCATCCGTGAGGTTAATGGGTAAAAAAAAAATGTTGGGAAACATCAAAAATGGGCTTTAAAGCCAAAAAGAGGTTCTGTAGATCCAGCCCTGATTCACTAGGAGTGATTGTTAAATGTGGGCTGTGTTCCCATCATGCCTTGTGCCTGTTCCCTGTGGTGGGGAGTTCTGATCCAACTTGGATCAGATCTAAATTCAGAAACATTAAGTCAGGTGCCCACTGGGAGTATGTTCTGTTTTTGTTCCCATTGTGACACGAGCGTCCCGACGATGCTCAGATGATGAAAAGTGAGTTTGAATATCAATCAGAGCCGTTTACGCTCAACAAGTTGTAATACATTTTTACATGATCCCCTTTTTTGTGCTTTTATTTTGGAGAAAGAAAGTGTCAGTTTTACCTTTTTGACCACGTGGGAGGAACTTAAATTAACAGACTTAACTGAAATAAGTCAATTATTAACGATAGTCGGTGTCCAAGAGTCCTGCGGTGCGTCAGGAAGGAAGCAGCTGAAAGAACAGTTGGTGTCAGCACCAACAATTAGCATTAAGTTACTTAATATTAACTTATAATAACGTATGAGTTGATTAAAATACACAGTTTGTTAATTGGCTACATATGAAATTATACTTGGAGTAAAACATTAGTTCTTCCTCTGTACCACAAGTTCAATTGTTTTTTCTACAATTCTCAAACATGACCTGGTGTTTTAGATAATGGAACGTACAAACACAGACGTGATTATTTTTATATATAAACCAGTCGAACAAGTAAATAACTTGTTAAGGTACACCCTGGATAGGGACCACAAACTGCAGAATTCAGCTCTTGGGTTAAACTTTGACCTGAAAGCACATTTAAATTTATTGGCCTGACTGAATTTAACAGATTAAAACATTTTGAATGCGTTCATAAGAAACGTGCATGAAAAGGATGAACAGATTCACCTGTAACAAGGTGCACTTCCACACTTTGTTCCTCCTCTCTGTTACCAGAATGTGCCGTTCACACATTCCTCTGCTGATGCAAATCAAACTTTGAGACACGGCATCGGCCCGAGTCACCAGTTCAATCCCATTCAGGCAGCCACAGACAACCAGTCGTTCACTGTCTCGCCTGTTTCTCTGCAGAGATTTCCAGTTGACCAAAGAAATGGTGATGGAGAAGCCAAGTGCCCAGCTGGTCGGGCGGGAGTTTGTCCGACAGTATTACACGCTCCTCAACCAGGCCCCCGACTACCTGCACAGGTACCACTTAACCCCGAGCAGCTGCGAGGAAATTGGATTTTAAAATAATTATGTGAGCAGCCGGTCTGATTGTCGTTTTGTTTTTCAGGTTTTATGGAAAGAACTCGTCTTACGTCCACGGTGGTTTGGACAGCAATGGCAAACCAGTCGAGGCTGTTTATGGACAATCTGTAAGAGGCTTCGTCGCGGCTTTTTAAAGTGTTATTCTTTCAAAAGACCGCACTCCCATACAGCTGCAACATGGAGAATAAAGTTATACAAGCTAAAGAAAATGCAGTTTCTCTTAAAATGAAAGGATTCTGACTCTTGTGCAACAAAGGAACTTTAAAGACAAACGGCATGAATGTAAAGCTGCGAGGCCGTGCACATGAAACTTCTCCTTTTCTTCTGCAGGAGATTCACAAGAGGGTCATGGCTCTGAGTTTCCGTGACTGTCACACCAAGATCAGACACGTGGACGCCCACGCCACCCTGAACGAAGGCGTCGTGGTGCAGGTGATGGGCGAGCTGTCCAACAACATGCAGCCCATGAGGAAGTTCATGCAGACCTTTGTCCTGGCCCCAGAGGTTGGTACAGCAGCAACATCTGGGTCTTCTGGCTGCACACGGCATTTACTGAGAGGTTCTGGTGGTTCTGCCTTTCAGGGCACAGTTGCAAATAAATTCTACGTCCACAACGATGTGTTCCGGTATCAAGACGAGGTGTTTGGTGACTCCGACTCCGAGCCTCCAGAAGGTGAGAAGTCATTTTCATTTAATTTAAATGTCAACTCTTTTAGATGTAAATACAAACAAATGTCACCAAACACTTTTTGAATTTGTCGTTTTTTCTTAAAGTAGCCAAGTGAGCTCCCTCGTGGTCAAAGTTTCTACTTCATTATTCTTTCAAAATAAAGTACGATGGCAAAGAGACGGCTGCCGTGAGGTTTAATTAGTTTATAACTACGACTGAAAGGTGCGGCTGATGAGCATCAACGTGTCTGTACCAGGTGTCCACGTAAAAGAAGATCAAACGTTCACGACATTTCACTCGCACGTTTAAAAATCGTCCGTTTCTGAACGTAGTAAATCTCATTTCATGTTTTTAAATTTTAAGGATCTTATTTTGAGACACTTTACTTATTTTTAAACGTTATTTATGGAGCTGTGGTGGAAAAAACTAAGTCTGTGCTTTTGTTTTTGAATTGGAGTCTCAGCTGCACTTGTGTCTGTGAACGGCCGGTTCTGGCCTCCAGGTTCGGTTCCACCGTCGCACTCCTGACTCAAAGGACCAGTTCTGTCGGGACCAGTCAAACCATTGATCTCTGCTCAAAACAGAAAACCTTTGGTTTCATTTACGAGGAGAATCGTTTGAACGCTTGTCTTCACTTTGATTCTGGTTCCTGGTTTTTAAAAAAGCACCGACGAGTTACTCACAAATCCACGCCTGATTATCTGAACAAAACGTTTACGTATAAAAGTGTAAGATTTAATGACGTAAAGGTTTTAGTGATCGTTTCAAACTGCAGCAGCCTGAATGTTCCTCTCGTTCTCAGAGTCTGAGGACGAAGTCGAGGAGCTCGAGAGGGTCCGCTCCCCCGATGTCGCCCCGGAAGACTCGGCCCCGTTCTACGACTCAACAACTTGGTGCGTCTTCAAGTTCTGCGTGTTTTGATGGTTTTAAATGTGAACTCTAAAGAGTGTGGGCTGTTTACGATCGTCACATGCAGATTGTTTTACTCAAGATGTGTTTTCAGAACCGAACCGCAACAAACTTTATTTATTTTACTAAAGAGAATTGTGCTCTCGGGTCACGTGGAGGAAACATTCAGACTCTTAACAGACAGATGTTCTTCAGTGAAGAAATGAAGACGAGATGTGGATCCACACTTTTACTGCCACTTGTTTCTGCTGTGAAGCTGCAGTGACCCGGCGGGGTCAAACAGAAGCAGCTCCTCTGCAGTTTCACTTTAAACCCCATTTTTGACGTTTGAAAGCTCGTTGGACGTTCTGTCTGCGGTTCTTCTACAACTCCGTTCCTTGTTAAGATCCTTGAACTTTGCAGTGATCCCAGGTGATGCGTTTGCTGGCACATAAAACTGACATCCACCTGTTTGTGTTTAGTTCTGACCCGGCAGCTCCTGTTGACGAGGAGGAAGCTCCTGCAGCGAGTCCAGAACCGGAGCAGGAGGTAGAGAAGGAGGTGGAGGCTGCTGAAGAGGAGCTGAAGGCCGAGACGATGCCCGAGACACAAACAGAAGCGCACGCAGCCGATGATCAGACAGAGAAAAGCCCCCCCACCGCCGCCCCCCCAACCACAGATCCTGCACCTGCTGAACCCGCCCCGGCCGCTCCAGAGGAGAACCGGGTACGCCTGAAGACGGGACGATGAAGAGCCAAGTTAAAGGTTGAACGTTGACTTACTGTGATTGGGTTCTGTTTGCAGCCATTCTCCTGGGCTTCCGTCACCAGTAAGAACCTCACTCCCAGTGGGGCTGTCCCAGTCTCAGGAATCTCCCCGCACATCATCAAAGCCGCCCCCGCAGCTCAGGTGGGTTCAGTTTACACTGAGCTTCACTTTGAACCGTTTTCATCTTGCACTTTTCATATTTTACTGATAAAACCTGATTTTGTTGCAGCCGAGAGTGGAGGTGAAGTCCGAGTCCCAGACGACAACACAAAGACCACAGAGAGACCAGAGACCACGAGAACAGAGGCCTGGGGGTCCCCCTCCTGCACACAGAGGGCCGAGACCAGGTACACACACGGGTACTTTTTACAACAACTGACCGGTGACCAGAATCTGATGTGAAATGTTGCTCGACCTTCAGCTGCACCAGCTGCTCGTGAAACATCTGGTCTAGTGGTAGCACCCGGGTTTAAAGGCTCGCCCTGATTCTCTGACCCGCTGCGTTCTGTTTGTTCAGTGCGAGAAGGCGAGCAGGGGGAGTCTGAGGGTCGCAGGGTGGTCCGGTATCCAGACGCTCATCAGCTTTTTGTGGGAAACGTTCCTCACGACGTGGACAAGGCTGAACTGAAGGAGTTCTTTGAACGTGAGTTGATTTAACTGCATGTGCAGATTAGTTGAACTAGTGGAAATGGACTTTTCTGCAGCAGAGCTGGCGCTAGTTGATGCTGCTGAATGCTCAATAATCCAGGTAGAAAAATTAACTAAATTAAGTCGGGTCCTCTGGATGGGTCAAAAATAAAAAAACTTGTTGAAACATTTTGTCTTTAATCCAAAAGACTTCTTCAGTCTGAGGAGCTGCACTAAACTCAGTCCTATAAAAAGCCTCTTCTCATGGTGGAGCAACCGGTTTGCTGGAGACCGCAGAACTGGAAGACCATCAGCCTAACGAGCGATCGTTAGTGCTCTGATTGTTAGCGCTCTGATGGTTAGCGCTCTGATGGTTAGCGCTCTGATGGTTAGCGCTCTGATGGTTAGCGCTCTGATGGTTAGCGCTCTGATCGTTAGCGCTCTGATCGTTAGCGCTCTGATCGTTAGCGCTCTGATCGTTAGCGCTCTGATCGTTAGCGCTCTGATGGCCGCTTGCTGTTCACAGGGGGCTGAGGGATACTAACAATAACAGCATTGTAAGAGGGGGCCAGTTGAACCCGGAGGCTCCGCCTCGTTTAATGATGGACAGTTTCTCTTCTCAAAGATGGCCTCCTTCACTCAAACCATCGTTCCTCTCTGTCGATGATGGGAACATTGTGAATTGTTAAAGTTTAAACGAGCAGAACAAAAACTAAATTGAGTGAAACAAAAAGTAAAGAGCAGAAATCGTCAACAGCTGAAAATGTCTAAAGATTTAAAGAAGCTTTTTTTAAGGTTTTGACGTGATCTCGGTGCAGTTCTATGGACAAAGTAAATAAAGTTAAATAATTCAGTAGAAAAGCTGAAACCAGCTGCCCAGCTCCAGCAGCTCCAGCAGCTCCAGCAGCTCCAGCAGCTGAAAGTTGTGACGCCTGAAATGGGAGAAAGTTTGATGAAGCAGCTCAAAACACTCAGAGAAGAATCTAAACCACTCGACGTGCAAGAATTCACCGTAGTTTGAGAAAGATGCTTTTAAAGCTTGAGGTCTAACTGCTGAACGTGTCCTCCTGCAGAGTACGGGACAGTTCTGGAGCTGCGGATCAACAGTGGAGGGAAGCTTCCAAACTTTGGCTTCGTGGTTTTTGACGACTCTGAACCCGTTCAGAAGATCCTCAGCAACCGGGTAAACGCACGTCGGCTGAACTGCAGCTTCAGTCTGTGGTTTGGAAACTGCTTCACGTGTTCAGGTTCTTGTGGTTCGGTTCCTGTCGGACTGGACTTGCTCTGTTGTTTTGACTCGACTTCGTTTTCTCTGTTCAGCCCATCAAGTTCCGCGGTGACGTTCGTCTGAACGTGGAGGAGAAGAAGACCCGGTCTGCCAGAGAGAGCGACAGGCGGGACGTGAGGCCCCGAGGTCCGGGTGGTCCAGGTGGTCCCAGAGAGCGAATCGGAGGCGGCGGCGGCGGACCCAGAGGACCAACTCGTGGCGGCATGGCACAGAAACCCAGTTTTGGCTCCGGACGTGGAGCCGGACCCACCGAGGGGCGCTACTCCGCTCCACGTCAGTGAACTCACCCGAGCTCCAAACCTGCGTTCGATTTCCGCCTGGAACTGATTGGGGAAGAAAAGCCAAATTTTTGAAACAAACTCCCTTTTTATTCTGCGCTGACGAGAAAATCAGTTGGAATCTCGATCTGGAGTCGAATCTTGTTCGCTGGTCACGTTCGCCCGACGTCTCGACTCCCTCCTCATCGTGTCTGCCTCTAGTCCACGCAGGTTTGGTCAGCTTCTCGTGTCAACTCAACAGGTCCTGCTGAATTCAGCAGCCAACTCAACGGTCATCAGTCTCTCTTGAGTATAGCTGCACCCCCTCCCTCCCAACTCCACCAGTATCCGAGCACCGCAGGCCCAGTCCCGTCCTCTGACACCTCTTCATTTTCTCCTCGGTGCAGGAAACCCGCCGGCTGCTGAGACTCGTGTAGACTGAGGTGATGGTAGGATGTGGGTTAGCTTGAGCACGTCATGTTCCCTCAGCTCCACCAGGGGGCGCTCCTCCTCAATCCAGACCTCGACTGTGCAGGAGACACAACCAGCTCCTCAGATCACGACAGATGTTTTCGCCCTTCACTCAGACTTTAGTCAGTTTTCTTTGTTTTTTCCATGCTGGACTTGAATGATCATCAAACCGACACAGATTTTAAGGGTAAATGCTACTTGAATTGGGGATTTAAAACCCAGATGTTGTTTTGTTTTTCGCGTTCTCTCCCTGTTTCTTAAAGGAACGTGTACTTTACTGTTTGGGCAATCCTGTGTATTGCTGCCACCGTTGTATCTAGCGATGGATCTGTCTTACCTTTTTATTCTGTCAGGTCAAGAGCTGAAATGTAGACGTTTTTATTTGAATAATGTTGTTGGCTTGTGTCTGAATGCAGCATGTTTCCAAAACCGGTTTGGGCTTCTGTCGATGCACTTCATTTTCATCATGTAAAACAAGCTCACACGCCGACGAGAGAACTAAATTAAACATTTTTCTGTTTTAACTTCATCGCCTTGGATCTCTCAACTGTTTGGTTACAGCTGGGTTCTGAGAAGTCGTGGTAAACTTCTGGTTTTACTGGTTTTAATACAGAAATGAGGCATAAAACGGTGCCCAAAACCCCCTAAAAACCAGCTTCAGTGGAAGTTTCTTAAAATTTGTAAAATTGTTTAAAAGCAGCTAAAGATGATTAAAAATGAACATGGACGTTCTTGTCGGACCACACAGCTGAATTCAGGTTTAGCCGCTTCACTCGGCTGGGCTTGTTGCCGTGGCAACAAGAAACCGCCTCGTATCATGTGGACAGAGTTTTAGATTTCATCTTTAATGAAACTAGTTACTAAAAATCAAATTCATTCTTTAATCACATCTTGTTTCCCCTTTCAAAATCAGAGCTCGTCACTTTGTTCTCGTGTGCAGCATCAATGAACCGTCGGGTCCACGTCTGCAAAAATGTAGAAATTAATAAAATCGTGTAAATTAAAACGCATTCAAAATGACTGAAAACGGACTTTGGAGGCAGACTTGCACAACAATAAAGTTAACAGGTTAAATATAAACGTGATTTTTTTGCCTCTGATCGAACGCGTCTGGACTTTCCTGTCGAACCAAAACCTTACGTTGATGTTGGGAGTTCCAAGTTTACTGGTTTGTATTTCTGTTTAGTCACTAAAGAACGCAGTAATGTTTCTGAGAGGCTGTTTTTAGCTTCAGGAGAGCTAAAATTCAATTCTCTAAAAATATTCTTGTTAAATTATGTGCTTTTATTTTGAAGTTATTAATCCTGGCAGGAGGGAGAATTTATCGGAGATTACTCCCTAACAGAATAGCATCATTTATTAAATTCATGCTCGTGGTTTATGAAAGTGATGGGACGGATTTCTCTTTAAATTATTTTTTCTGACCATCTTCAGACCGATGCAGCAGTTCAGGCAACACGACTTGTTGCGAATCAGAAGGTTTACGGTTAAAAACGGTAAAAACATTTAAATAAACTACGCGAGGTTCTTTAGAAACGTGGAACATTTACACATTTCTGCAAAAAGCTGCTCAGTCATTTATGGATAAAGTCCTGGTAAGGACCACCTGCACCATGATGACCCTAAACAGGAGGAGCTGCTGGTTCCAGTACCACAGTGCTGCTGGTTCCAGTACCACAGTGCCCCCTGCTGGCAGCTTTAAGTAACTGCTGCTTCACTGAAACAGTTCTGTTGGTGTCAGGCTTGTGTAGGAATTCATTTAGGGGAATTTATTTGACATGAGTTACTGTACAACTATTTTCAAAATATTTTCTGTTATAACCCTTGGAATAAATGTAGGAGGCACAGGGTGCAACACAAAAATTGTAAACTAAACATAAAGCTAATGACTCAAAAACAACCCAGTTTGGCACTGGTTAAAATAAAAATGCAGAGAACCCAAACCAAACTTCCCATCTAAACGGAGGTTCTTAAATAGAACTGTTCACAGAACAAAGATCAACTCGGAGTTGTTAAAATGACAGAATTCAGAGTCAACCACTACAATAATCGGAACCAAGTGGAAATGCCCAAGAAAAAAAGGGCGTGGCGCTGGATCACTGGAGCTTTTACTGATGAGGAAGTGATTCCAGGTGCGCAGCGTGTTGAGACAGCAGACCTGTAAGAAAGCAAAGATGTCCTCTAGTAAGAGAACCCCTAGAAATCAGTGGATGTATCACGTTCCGATGCGCCTCTTGAAAAAGAGCTTTAAGTCCACGTTGTGTTTGAAGAGAGCAGAGATATTAGAAAAGTGCCTCCGTGTCCTTTCTGAAACAACAACCGAGCTGTCGACGGAGGCTCGGAGAGTTGGATCCATCCTGGTGATGGCATCAGTCTGACAAACTGTTTCCTGCCTGCTTATTAAAAAAAAATGAAGGTACCACGAACATCCCATGAAGCTCCATTCGATCTGATATTGGGTAAAATGGCGAAATGTCTCCACAGCAAACCTGTCCAGAGCGGATCGCTCTCCAAAACTCATGAACGGGTGAGGACAACCAGAGAAACCAACTTTGGAATTTTCCCCCAAAATATGTCGAAGATGCTGCGGTCAGAAGAGCCCGAACGCCAAGGACAACCCACTGCTGGAGTACGGTGGTGGAGGCATCATGCTGTGGGGGCTGACATGAGCAGGGACTGAGGCCCAGAGAAATAACTGTTCCCATTGTATTCATTTTTCTCCTCGGGCTCTCCCTCTCCATGTTCTCCTTCCTCCTGCTCTCGCTCCTGCTCTCCCTCTCCATGTTCTCCTTCCTCCTGCTCTGCTCTCCGTGTGTTTGAAGCTCCTGGTCCACATCTCCCGAACGAAAAACACGATTATGGATCTGGTGAGCTGGACTTTCAACGTAATCGACAAAATCTTTTCAACAAAACGACAGGACCCTGGAGAACCCTCTTGTCCGGCTGAGACTCACGCTGCCGGGTGCGTCAGAGAGCAGCTGACGTGCCTCTCAGTTCTGTCTCAGGAGGACGCTGAAGACGTTTATATATTTGGACTCATGACAGCAGGTTCTGCTCGTTGGCATCAGCGGGGCTGTTTATCAACCTTTGAGGACTTCGGCTGCAGTTCCGGCCACGACAAAGGGCCAGTTTCTGAAAGTCAACAGCTCGGGGGCCGGACATTCAGCAATTAAAATCGTTATGTAAATAAAGTTTACAAAGATCTGTCACCTCTGGAATTTATTGTACTGAATCATAAATGCAACAAACAGAACCCAAACTCAAACCCCATCCATCATCTACGGCTTATTCTGAAGTCGGGTCTCGGGGGCAGCATCTTGAGCAGGGAGGTCTAGACATCTCTTGCCACAGCCGCTTCTTCTTCCCAGGCCAACCGAGAGACGCCGTCTCTCCAGCGTGTCCTCGGTCTTCCCTGTGGTCTCCTCCTAGTCAGACATGTCTGAAGCACCTCCCTAGGGAGGCGCCCAGGAAGCATCCTTACCAGATACCACCTCCACTGGCCCCTGTCGATACGGAGGAGCATCGATTCTACTCCGAGTCTCTTCGGGATCACTGAACTTCTCACCCTGTCTCTAAGGGAGAGTCCAGCTGCCCTGCAGAGGAAACTCATTTCAACCGCCCGAATCCATGAGCTCATGATTTCAGTCACTACCCAGAGCTCGTGACCACAGGTGAGGGTCAGAGCGTAGACCGACTGGTAAACAGAGAGCTTTGCTTTACAGCTCAGCTCTCTCTTCACCACAACGGACCGGTACAGAGTCCGCAATACTGCAGACGCTGCACCGATCCGTCTGTCAGTCTCACGCTCCATTCTTCCCTGACTCGTGAACAAAACCCCGAGATACTGAACTCCTCCACAGTAATGAAGCGGACTGAAGTCACCCACAGGCCGTTTCCGGCCGTTGGGCCACCATTTGAATAGTACCAGCCTAGAGCGCCCTCTTGTGGTTGCAAATGGTAACGTTTATTCTTTGGTTCATGTTGGCATCAGTCAGTCAAGAATTGCGTCACGAATAGGGACAAAGGTATACAAGTCGCTTCGGACTATACGTCGCAGGACTGGACAAACTACGAAAAAAGGTGCGACTTATAGTCCAGAATATACGGTAATATATTTTAAGTAGTATGAAACAATTTTCTTGTTTAACTTCTTTAACGTGGACCATTTTAATAGAACTACAACATGAAGAAATAAAAAATGCACTTTAAATTCAGGTTTGCTGCACCTTACTGTAACTGCTTACAGATAAATGAACACGGTTTGTTTTGTTAAAGTGTTTACATCGATGAAGAAAAGTCGCACAAAGTTTATTTGCAATTTTTAATGAGACTTTTTCTTTAATGATTACACAGATCCTTGAGTTGAGTAACAGAAAGCAGAAGATCCAACTCCAACAATCTTGACAATGTTCAAAAACAGGTAAAGAGATTTTTGTCCAGAAAACCTTTAATTGTTAATAGAATTAGTAATATGACATAATTCAATAAATACTCAGATATATACAGATACAGCAGAAATGGTACATTCTTCTTTTTTCTCTTCAAATTGCTTCACTTGTTTTGTTTTTGTACAAGCCAAAATATCTGCCATTTTATTCATTTTCATGCAAAATATCGTTTCAGATTAATGAAAAATAAAACGGATTTGCGTAAAATTTTTCATCTTGCCTCAATGTGCACGTTCAGAATATAAGCGTCACAGATTAAGCAAAATAAACGGGCGCACTTTGTGCCAATACACAATGGAAGCAAGTAAAGCAAAAAAAATAAAAAAAATAAATAAAATTAAGGCCATTCCAACTTTTGCAAAGATCAACAAATAAATTATTCTTTAAAGTTCACAGCAGATCGGGGTCGTCGTATTTTTCCTCTTCCCTGGGAACGTCGGATTGTACAATAAACACAATAAAGTACAAGTCAAACAAAAAGTATCATTCTTCATGAAAATATCAAACCATGCTTCTTTTAAACCCAACTAAGAATAAAAGATCTCTTTTCTTTGTTTCGTCAAATAAGCCCAGTTTCTGTTTCATATGTGATGCCCTTTAAACCCAGACACTATAATAAAAGATGAACACAGTGAAATCAGGACAATGGCAGCTTTAAAATAACTACGACACACAGCAGAGGACGGGCTCGTGACTCGTGGAATGGTGGTTGAATGAATGCGCGATATGCTCGTAGGTCCTTGTTCATGTTGCATATTCAACCCCACATGGCACGAGAAGATATGTGTGGATGACGGCTGCTGGCTCAGACAGAAGGGCGTCAGTGTTTTTATGGCACAAGAGGGAAAAATGAGTCATCCCAATTAGACCGAGCCGCTCAGGCTTTGGCTGAGAGGAGGCGTCCGTACAGACAGACGCTCCGAGGTGGTTCTGTACCCCCGAAGGAGCTCCGTGGATCAGGTGTCACTACTTGAAATAAGCCAAATATTCCTAAATGCGACCAAATTTTCTTATTTTGAGAAGCAAAAGTTGCTTGGCCAGAATTCTTAAAACTGGCGAATGACTCAAACTGCTGCGTGCGTTTAAACCAAACTGTGCAAAATGAAAGAAAACTGCACTTCTCACAAGCAAACACTGCTTTCCCTAAGAAATGTTTCCTTAGAATGAGTGTTATTCCCCTTCATTAAGCTGATTTTAAGACTTTTTATGCCTCATTTAAGAAAATTTGACAGAGAGAATTATGCATTCGAATAAGTTGATTTTAAGATATTTTTTTTTAGCATTTTAGACCTTAATTTAAGTGTAATGCAGCTCAGATGTTTGCAATGAAACTAGATAAAAGGGTTCTCTTTACTTCCTAAAAATAGATCCTTTTTGGCATTACCACGTTCAGGTGAATTAGTTTTATCTTCAGAAATTTATTGCACAGGGTTTGCCTTAAAAATCTCGGATTTTTTTGTCCTTAAGTTTAATCATCACAAATTCAACACGTGCAACACGGTTGTGACGTTTGAATCACGGATTGCGTTTGGACGCCTATAAGAGCTTTCGGGTGGCACATGGTGTCAGCATGGAAGAAAAATCACAAACGAGAAGAATTTGGTCTAACAAATACAAAAATAGACGCACTATGGGTTTTAGTGAGGCACGTGAAATATAATGCCTCCTTTTGTCTTGTGTTTTATACATTTTCATGTGTTAAAGAATTGGCACATTTTGCAACATCTTTTAAAAATTATTTTTGCGCTACTTTTATTTGGTCCAATAGGAGAAACGCTAACAGGAAGTAGCACTAGAACACTAAATAGATTGTAGCTTCTGTGACTATTTTCTTTTTCAATTTATATTTTATATACTTTACAAAGATAATTTAAGTTTTTGGCTTTGATTCCTGAATTCTTTAATTCAAGTAGGAAACAATTTTTTATGTAGGCTAAGCTACTTCATGGCCAGTGGCGGCTCATCAATAGGGGGCGCTAGGGCGCTGCCCCACCACTCAAACCACCCACCATATTACATTGAAGACTTAAAACAATTAAATAAAAATGAAATAATAAAATATAAACATTTCAAAATATATGTATATATTTTTTTAGTTGTGTAAGATAAATATTATATAGTTAATGATGAATTAAGTTGTTTCTTTCAAAAATGTTGATTGATGATGTATTTCCATCCTGGGGGTGCAAGAATTTTAGCCCATAGACTCTCATTAAAAACTGCCCATGCGCAGTTAGCTCCTCTTCATTACGATGGGAAGATTCTGGGCGCACCACTCCTGCGCCCTCAGTACCGCGGCACTGTACGGATCGTGCTTCTGGTCCCGCCGTCCCGGTACAGATTATTTTTTTTGTCCCCGAACAGATCGTGTAGTGACACTCACAACCAGGCTATATATGAAATATTATTTAGCTGTCAGACAGCAGCGCATTTAAAAGGGGCGCAGCATTAATTTTGATCGGGCAGATAGTTGGGAGACCTGCCACTGCTTCATGCTAACAGCATCAAGACAGTTTTGAAACTTAGCCTTGATGCTAATTAGCTCTTGTAATTTATTGTCTTACAACTAAATTTGTAAGAGACAAAAACGTTTTAACATTTTTACTCATAAAATAACATTATCAAATTTGTTGTTGTTGACAGAGACATGATTATATTATATTATTATTACACAAGATTAGCTACATAAGCTTGCTATGCTACAGTCTCATGGAAGTTAATGATAAAATGTAAAAAAATTAAAATAAAAATTGGAGATTATTCTGTTTTCATGCAAACCTTTAGTTTTTTTTAAAAATATAGCCTAAGTCTGGATTTTGCCAAAGCAATTATTAAAACTCATGTATTTATTTAGGTATTTTTACCAATAAGTAGCTACATCTGCTCTAAGCAATTGTGATAAAAACCTGGAAAAGGTTTTTATAATCCTTTCAGTTTTTAAATGAAATGCATCTGCATGCTTCATGGCACTTACACTTGAAAATCAACACGTCGTATTAGGAAGATTTAAATGAGGCGAGTAGCCCTCAACATCAACAGAAACAATTAAGAAAGCAACAGATTTACAATGAGAAATAAATCTAGTTTAAACTTTAATAATCTGCAACACCAGATCACCTTTAAATTGAAAATAAATAAATAAATAAAATGTATTTTATTGGTAAAAAATGTGTCCTGGATGAAAATGGGTTTGGTAATATCTATTCCTCAGATGTGTATGGCACTTAATAACTGGGTCCATACACAGGTTTCTTGTACTATGCAGCTTATGAGCACCTAAACACGTGTTCCGAGAACATGATGGTCAACAAACAGTAATAAAATGCTGGCCCCATGTTCAGGAGATTCCTAAAAATATATAAAAATGAGCATTTATGAAACTGTTTTCTTCTGTATCATCAGTATTTTAATTTTATTATCATTGAAAACTATATCTCTGTTTTGTTGGGAGGTAATTTTCAATTTTCATTTAAAAATGGACGTTTAAACAGATGTATTTTAGAAATTAGAAAAATAAACGTGGGAAACCTGACCAATGTTTTCTCCATGAAAGTTAGTTAAAAACAGGAATCAATCAAACTTACAATGAAGAAAACTTTCCAAAACAACAACAAAAACAAACAACCAGCTTTAGAACAAGTGATCTACCAACTGACTAACAAACAAACAAGACAACAAACAATTAACCAACCATCCAGCCAACAAACAAACTAAACAAATTAAGAATAATGGGCCACCCAACCAAAGCAAAACAACCAACCAACCAGAAAACAACTAACCAAATAAATAATAACCAAAGCACCAACCAACAATTAAGCAAATAAATTATAACCAATCATCCAACTCAAACCAAGCAACTAAACAAACTAACCAACTAGCTGGTCACCCACCAACCAACCAACCAATCAATTAAATAATAATCAACCAACCAATTCCAGCAAACAAACTAACTAGCCATAAAATAACTAACCAAATTAACAATAATGGACCACCCAACCCAAGCAAACCAACTAACCAACCAACCACCCAACAAACCAACCAACCAACCAACCAACCAACCAACCACCAACTAATCAAATAAATTATAATCAATCATCCAACATAAGAAACCAAACAAACTAACCAACTAACAACTAACTAATCAAACCAGTACTTAATACTGACTTCCTTGAGAAATTTTAAGCTAAGTTAAACAATTATCTGTAATTTTCTGCTTCTCTTCCAATGTTGAGTTAGTTTTTTAATTATTTTAATGCTAAAATACATTTTATACAATAAATAAATAAATAAATAAATAAATAAATGTCTTCAAAGGTCAACAAAGCTGTTCTCTCAGGCTTTGCCTGAAAATCTGAAACAGACTAAAACATTTCCGTGAAACTTTAAAGTGATAAAGCGCTTTTAGTAAATAGAGATGATTAAAACCTATTAAGCAACAATTTGTGCATAAAAATGGAGACAAATGTCAAAATTTGAGCCAGATTTCCAACGTTTCCCCCCAAAGTTCTGATTGGCTCAGTTTGGCTCTTCTGACACATTGTCATGCAGTAGTCTGCATGCAACGGGGTGAAAGTGCCTTAACAGGGCGCTACCTCAACATTCTTACCTAAAGAACTCTCTGGAGAGTGAACGCTTGAGATGGAAGAGCTACGAAGAAGTTCAAATCAATTTGCATATACTGATCATTGCATAGAAAAGCGGGGTGCAAAGCAAAACATCACAAGTACCTGCCTGACTGATCACTGCCCACCCAGCGCGGCGACGCCAACGCTGTGCGGGTCATGGCATGAGGTTTACAGCTCGGTGCAGCGAATGACATGGAGGTATAGTTCGTGTTATCGTCTGCATAATAAATGACATTTGACGGGAACAGGATGGATCACACTGAGGCAGGGTCAAAGCGCTACAAATACGTCCACATGGTTTAGTCAACACAGCAAATAAAGTGAACAAAAGTACTTTTTTTTTTTTTTACTCCGTCAAGGATCGAGCCGGTCTTTCTTCTGCTGATGGAATCAAACAAACAAATAAACAAACAAAAAACAAACAATTGTTTAAAGGATAAACCCCCAAAAGACATCAAACTGCTCACCCTTCCAGATGAGCTGACGAGTCCCACGTGACATGTTTTTAGTTGGCACATAAATTCATTATAGTACATAAAAAAGAAAAGTGAACTAATTTAAAGACCGACAGACGTTGAACACAGATTCTTCAGCACTGCAGTATTTTCTTCGTTTTATTTTTTCCTTTTCTCCTCGAGCGGCAGCGACAAACTTCAAGTGTCTCTGCAGTTTTTGTGGCGTCGGCAGCAGGAGGGAGGGAAAGCTTTGACGAGCGCTTTGCAGTACACGCTTGAAGCAAATCTAGATATATAGAACGCGTGATCTTTGCATCCATTTGTTTAGTGGAAGCACTGATGCGCCTTCCTTCCTGCAACTTATTCCTTTTTTTTATATCTTTTAGAGAAACATCCTTCAATCCAGATGCCCGTATCTGGAGACAAAGTTGATATTTTCTGATAAATATAAGTATAATACACTGCTGTATGCTTCTTGCACACCCCCACCCCGTACCTATATCATATTTTCATATATAATAATATATCTGTCTTCACACAAAAAAAGCTAAAATCAAACACAGGATCTTCTCAGGTCCGTTCACTCCAACAGTTCGTTCGGGTGGGCCTATGAGAGTTTCTGGTTCCTCTTTAATATATTGCCACATTCATATTTCATGCATTTTACTGCATTGCTATTGCACTGGTCGGGTTATTCTGGAGTTGTAAGGAGGCAGAAAAAGGGAAAAATAATTAATGCATCAAACAAAAAGGTCAGGGTTTTTTTTTTTTTTTCATGGAGACACAAAAAAAACAGCAAATCCTCCACGAAAAGAAGAAGAAAAAGAGCGAAAGAGGACGAAAAGCACGACTGGAAAAAAGGGGGCGCCAATACCTGCTTCTGATGTCTCATTATTTTTCTCGACTACTGCTTGTGGATGTCCTCGCTGCGGATGATCTTGTAAGTGATCCAGTAGAAAATGTTAAAAATGAGGAAGACGAGAGGGAAGGCCACCCGGGACACCGTGTCGATGCGCTTGGCCCGACTGATGAACAGCTTCTTCATCTCCTCGATGCTCTTCTCGGGAGGGGCCGAGGTCGGGGCGTTGTTGTTGTTGCCCTTAATGGCCATGCCGTCCTTGGTCTGCAGGCAGGCGGGGCCCATGCCGTAGCCGGGGAAGCCGAAGCGCCCATCGCCCGGGTCCTCCTCCTGCAACAGAAAAACACGTTCAAACAGAGTTCAACAGGAACTGATTTCAAACAGAAACTTCATCTTATTTTCTGCGCGCATCATTTCCGCTTCATGTTTAAAGTCGAGCACGACTCAGCAAAATCAGACTATGAAGAGTTTAAAGGTCTAGCACCCTTTGAAGGAATGCATATCGCCCGCCGCCTTTCATTCCAGAGTTTTAAATTAATTTATTCTTCAGTGGAGTTTAATTCATTTGGACAAACTTTAAGAATACATTTCTGCACAAACACACCTGTTGGCTCAGAGTACGTGCTGTCAGCTACTACCCCATCAAAGTCTAGCTCAATAACTAGGCCTGTCGCAATAAACAATAAATCAATTAATCGCACGATAAATGAAAATTATCGACCTCATTTCCATTTATTTGTTTTTCTCTGCAAAAGAGAAGCTGAGAACTTGTTTACTGATTATTTTATTAAAAGCTTTGTGACAAATGTTACACTAAAGAGGTCAAACCGCGTCGAGTGTCCGCCATTTTGAGAACCGAATAAAGGAGCGACAGCCCATGTCACGTCAAGGGGCCTCCCTCCCATTTTTCTTAAAGAGACACGCTGCTCGCTCCCTCACTATCCATCCTTCAGTTCAAACAGTCTTATACTGCCATCCAGTGGTCAAAAAAAGGTACTACATGCACAACAAATTAACCAACATTTCTTCTTAAATTTGACGATAATTACTAATTATCGTCAAATTTCAAACAATATTGTTTATAGCAATAATTTCTGAGACAAATAATCGCCCAACAAAATTTGTTATCGTGACAGGCCTATCAAAAAGTGTAAAATTGTCTGAGTTATGGCTCTTTTTGAGTTGGCTAAAGGAGTCCATTTTGAATTGGGCTGACTCCAACTGTTAACGAGTTGTAGATATTTATAATAAGCACATGTATTACTAGATCAAATGTCCTCGCCTTATCCAGTTGTTTGAATTGAAGCAAGCAGGAACAGTTTTACGGAAGCTGCCACGTTGTATTTTTGGAACCAGAGCCTGTGCACTCAGGATGTGGAGCTTTAAGTCCCGCCTACCTCCCTACAAAACATAACTTTTTTTTTAAAGCATGGAATAACTAATAACAGCTAAACGTGTTAGAAAAAATAATGTTTATGTGAATTAACACCTAAAAGAACATTTCTGAGGTGTTTATTTCCAAACGTTAGGACTTAAAACCTGTTCTGGGTCTATCCTGGGATGCTGAAAACGCTCGGTCTTTAACCCCTGGCTTATATGTAGATCATGTGATTACTTCCTGAATGTTTCATCATAATCTGTTTAGTGGTTCAGGAGATATTATGAACTACACAGACACAAAAACAAACATTATCACCCTTATTTTCCTTCTGGCAGCGGGCGATAGATAGGCGGTTGCTTGTCACCGTAACAGTTTATTCTAAAGCAGGGGTGTCTAAACATTTTCATATGTGGACCAAAAGATGAAAGGAGTCACGAGCCACAAAAATGTGAATAAAAATAAAATAAAAAGTGTACATCTTTTTAGTGATTTAAAAAAAAAACTTAACATAAACACAACACAACGTAAAAACGTGAACAATATTTTGGAGAAAGGACAAAACAGAGTAATTCTGGTGGAGAAGGTGTTCTAAACTGTTGTAATCCAAAACATTAAAAGCTTCATAAACATTAACCTTTTATTAATTGATTTTTTACATTTAATTTATTTGACTTTATTGATTTACTACCAAAGGGTTGTGTTAAACTTAATACGGCTCATTTTGAGACGCTTTTAAAAAAAAAAATCTGTTCTGCTGTTAAACCTAATAATTATGTAAAATAATAAAAATCACCATTAAATTTGCAAAAGGTCCGCATCAGTCTCTGAAGCCTACGGGCCAAAATTCTTAAACTGCAACTGTGGGCCACACAAATCACTCCAAGGGCCGCAAATGGGCCGCCGGGCCACACTTTGGACACCCCTGTTCTAAAGGTTACACACAGACCAAAGCTCCTTGCATCGCCACGTTCAGGTCTAATTATGGAAATGTTTATTTAAACTTATACATTGTTACGGATTAAATATCTGACTCCCCTCTGTGGCTCATTTGACTGAGAACAAACACATAAAAGCTGAATCTGGGCACAGAGCGGTTTATTGTGCTCATCAGTGGAGAGAAGAGGTGATGTGGTTGGACACTTGGGACTGATTGACGTGAGCCGTACTCGGGGTGACGCCACGTGCGTGACACTTTCACCCAACGAGAGTGAGAAACCGTACAGCTGATCTGATTTGTCACGCTGCCTTTTCATTAAATCAGACGCATCGACTTCCTTATCTGGCTGCAAGGCGCCGACACAAACACCGACACGAGCTGTGAGCGGAAAACTGAAACAGGAAAATCAACCTGACGCAGCCTTTAAACATCACGTCTTCAGTTAAAACGAGACAAACGGCTGCTTCTGTCAAAACCCAGCGGGAATACCAACACTGTTACCGGAATTATTAAAAAGTTCAATTAGAAAAAGATCAAAACATGTTAAAATGTAGCAAAATCTTGGTTAACAGCCAAATATAACTGAATTGGCTAAAGCTAATAATAACAAGACACTGTAAAATATAAAACTAGCAAAATGAGCAGAACATTAGCTAACATCTAAAATTAGCAACAGTGTAGCTAAAAGGTAAACTTGGCTAAACTGTTGCTAAAAGCTACAATTAACAAAACATTTGCTAAATAGTAAATATAGCTAAACCACAGCTAAAAGCTATATTAAGAAAAGCTGTTGTTAAAAGATAAAACTAAATAAATACCTAAATTTAGATTTAGCAAAGGGGTCACCAAAAACCTTCAGTCAGCAAATAAATAACTAAAAGATGTTTTTCTGATTCAGCCTAACTGTTGCTAAATGCTAAAATCAGCCAGATAGTAGCTAAAAGCTAAAAGAAGCACAGGAAGGGTACATACACCAAAACAGAAAAAAAAATAAAAATAGTAATTTTCTGTATTATCTTTAGATAAAAAAAGTAAATATAGTTAAACAGTTAAAAACGTGTTACTACAACATAAAGTCATAGCTGTCTAAATGAAGATTTAGATTTATATATTGGTAAAATAATAAATTTGGAGTAAATTTAGGAATAAACAGACCAAAGAATGAGAAAAGTGTGAATGCTGACTCAGTGTTTTCACAAATATAAAAGCCTTCAGATAATTCGGTGTTGCCTTCTTTCAAAGTCTGAATTCTTGATAAAAGAGGAAATTCACGCCCAAAGGCAACTTGAGTCACGTGTGTAAAATATTTGCAGCACAAGTAACCATTTGTTCACCTTTAGCTTAAAGAAACAAGATCGTTGTGATCTGAACGGCAGCAACGCAGCTGGAGTCCGGAGGAGCTGGCAGCAGGCGGGCTTCAGTGGTACCAAACCTCTGCAGCGACAACAAATCAACCCACTAATAAAAAAGGGCGGCCCAATACTCCAGTAAACCCAGCCTCCAATACTCCAGTAAACCCAGCCTCCAATACTCCAGTAAACCCAGCCTCTAATACTCCAGTAAACCCAGCCTCCAATACTCCAGTAAACCCAGCCTCCAATACTCCAGTAAACCCAGCCTCCAATACTCC